AAAGCTTCGACTAGCGATCGGCGACGACGATACACAACAGAGTACACATATAGTACATATACAGCACAACAATTCCATGCTGATTTGATCACCAAGAACACATGCTCGTACATACTTACAGTAAAAATTGTTGCCACAGCACAAATACGCTAATCGCTGCGAACATACCCTGTGCAGATGGTGTCGTACTGCTAGAATGACCTCTTGTTGGTGCTGGACTGAATGAATCACCCGTTGGCCAACATTCCGCGCATGTCTCCGGTAATGACCGTGTCTGTTTCGATGAATAGGAGGATTTCAACTGAAAATTCATCTCGATCGATGGTCTTTGATTAGTTTTTTAATCCATAGAATTGGTATTATATCATACTTCTAATGTTTAAGAGTTTAGATTCAGGATAATGTTCAAACTCCAAAAGATGAAGCTCACTCTGGACAATTCCGATACCTTACGCTATGTGCGCACTACGGAAACTCCACCCTACTGAGGTGACCCCGCCCACTCCCAACGTTGGCGAGAGTTTCCGCAGAGAATTATATGGAAAATTTTCTGGGTAAGAACAAGTCTTCAAACCCTTCCCGGACGGCTTTTTGCTTACCTGCTCTTCAGGATTGTAGTAGTCGAATAGCACCATTTGTGCTGGTTTCTGATCAGCTACATGATATGTCATATCGGAGAAAAGCGATAAACACACCGGAGTACCGCCAAGCTAAAAGAGAGACAATAGAGCGAACATGAAAACCAGAGAAGGCAGTATTTTGTATGAATATGCCAAAATTTACCGGATTAAAGTAAATGTTCATTTTTGTATCATCATGATCAAGTTCAACTCGTTGTAAATCCGAAATTCCCGTCAACTTGTCCATTTCTTCTTCATCGAATCTGAAAAAATCGGATGAAGGGGCAGTTCTCATGCTGGATGTGAAAAACGAAAAAAAAACTTACTTGAATCCCGTCAGGGCTTCGACCTCAGCCACAGCCATGTTCGATTTGCCGGCGCTTCGTGTATAACTGCAAATCGTCACGATTATTCAATTTATTTTATAACACGTAGTTTATATTATATTAATACGTATAATCAATGTGCATTTTATACACGAATCATTCTTTAGGGGGATTATACGACTTAATTACGAAGTTCCCGATGGAATGACCTCCGCTGGTTCGGTTTGCGAAAAAAAAAA